TTACTAGTTCTTCTTGAAGATAAAATTAAAGTATAAAAGAAATAACAGTACTTGTATAAATAGCACAGGCAAGCTAGCTAGCAATAAAAAGTTTACATGCATTATAAACTACAGAAAGTAATAAATCACTGTTCCTAAATAAGTAATGCAGAAAAGATAAGGTAATAATAAGCATCGAAAGGCTTAAACACAATGTAAAATAACAGTATAAGAAAAACACAGTAGCCTACTTTAATAAATAATGAAGGCAAGTTAGCTGGCAATGAAAGGTTCACTTGTTATAGTTTACGTTGGATAGTAAAATAACAGAAAAAAATGTAACGTGGTTAACAAACTAAGCTAATACTAGGTTACAAATTCTTCTATGCTGTAGTATTGTATTAAATATTAAAAACACCTTACACATCGATACTAAACAACAAAATAATTATTTGATTTCACCTTTAATTTAGAAAATAATTTATGTGCTTGGTGAAATAAATGCTCTAATATAAAGTATAAAAAAACAAAAGGACAACTTAAGAGGATGAAAGAGCCAAAAGGTACTTAAGCTCTAGCCCAGCTTAGCCGGAACCACTTTAGATTTTTCATTCAAATTATTTCATTCTTCTTCCTAAATAGTTTATTTTTCACTCTTTGTGTTATACACGAGATTGAATTACTATTTTACTGCTTTATATAGTCTAATATTATTGGTATGAAGTAATAAATAAGCAATAGTACAAATAAAATCAACAGTCTCTTCAAAAATTAAAAACATTTACTATATTCAACAAATATTGGATTTGGTTTAGGATTCGATGTTTTGTTCTTTTTTTATTGTGCCTGATATAAGATTTTCTTGGAAATCACTAAGAATCTAAATTTTATGCTTTGGTGATCATGTCACTTTTTAAACATCGAAGAAAGAACGCGGAGTGAAAGGATTATATATTTATATAATCTATATAATACATGTTACTTTAAAACCTTTTTTCTCAGCTCGTGTACATCGGACGGAAAATCTAAGTATATTGTTGGAATGATATTTCCTGTAGATGTGCATAATCCCTTTATAAATCAAAATTGGGTCAAAATAAGCACAAAAATGAATTTTAAATTTTAAAAAAATAACGGGCCTACTGTCGGGGAAAAAGTTTGACACTCGAGTTTGGAGCTCTACAGAAAAGTAACCAAACTAACTTCGAAAAACACGGAGTATATATAAATTTTCGTTGTTTTATTAACAGTGTGGGATGAAAATAAAGAAGTCTGTACATTATATACTTTTGATCGAGGTTTCGACCAGTGGACGACCTCTAGTCTATACAGTATATATAATAGGCAAGCATGTTTCATTAAAGTCTTATTTTCTCATCTCGTGTGCTTTGCAGGGAAAATCTACGCATACTGTTAGAAAGATATTTTCCCGTAGATGTGCAAAATCCCTTTATAAACTAAAATATGTTTAAAAATAACCTAAAAAAATTAATTTTAAATTTTAAAGTAATTAACATGGGCCTTATGAGTTGCCATGCTGGTGACGATAACGAAAATCAAAACAAATTAAAAAATTCCAACCACATGTTTTATTTACAGCGTGGGGTGAAAATAGAGAAGTCTGTACATTACATATTTTTGGTCGAGATTTCGACCACTGGACAACCTCTAGTTATAAAAAATACATACTGTAACATAAACTAAACACAAACGGCAATGGTTCAATGTGTTTGCAATGAACACATTGAAATATTGGCTGGTTAACCAAGGGCATGAATTTATAGGCGGAAAAGGATAACCGGTTTTGGCCGCTTGCAGCAGGACTGATGAAGGATGGGTAAGGTCCTGGGCCAGGATCAGGATGTGGTGTCCCAAGATCATTCTGTGACAAATGATTATGTGACAAGGACATACAGTGTGGGCGATATTAAGGAGAAACTATTGGTTAACTTAAACTAAGCTATTATTTTGATATTGATGGAAAAGATACAAATTGTGGCTATAGCGGTTATGAAAATAAATGGTAGATTTATCAGATATAAAGAAAGTTCACCTACATGATAATCCTATCTTGTTTCTTTTTTCAAGATTGGTAGACGATCAGATGAAAACCTGGGCACTATTTATTTTCTTGCTTTATTGGCTGGCACTTAATTATGTCCGTTAGCTTATGGTAAAATTGTATAGAGTAAACTAATTATTAGGTACTGTATAAAACTGTAAATTTAGATTCTCGAAAACACTTCATATGCTTTACAAACGCATAATGACAGTAGTTGACTATGACTTGATACTTCTAGCTTTGTCAATGCTTCTAGTAATAGAAACCTGAATTAAGATTCCAAATGATTTTAACTCGCATTGGGGTATTAGTCCAGTCAAGGAATGAGGTGTAGAGTGCGTGAGCAGGTAACTAAGCGATTCCTTCAGAAACTTGTTCAGGGGGCTTAGGGTGTTAACATACCAAAAGTCCTGACTCCTAGGTGGTGAGCCAGGGGGTGGAGGGGGGGAAAAAGGGGGGGAAAAGGTACGCATTTTGGGTTTTTTGATTATATCTCGAAAACTATCAACTTTTTGTATACTATAGTAAATTATAAAATTGAAGAAGATTAAATTTTCTACAAGAAAAGTATATAATGTGTTTATTTTGGTTCAACAGATTACGAGTTATAACTTATTTAATTGATATCTTATTAAAATACTCCTTCCATAAGAAATACATGTAAATTAGTATGCGAAATGGGGCGAATCCTATCCGCCCAAAGGAAATATAACTGATATTCTGGAAATCTTGACAAAATTTCCAGTAATTTGACACCCTAATCATTAAAATTGATCCAAAATTAAGGCGAGGGCGAGGTAACAAAATGTCGAGTTTTGGTGTTTTTTTATTGGAAATATAAAAAAAACCTTAAATCATCCCATTTTTAAACGCTCACCCTCGCTTTAATTTTTGACAAAATTTCATGATTAAAGTGTCAAATTACTGGAAATTTTGTCAAGATTTCCAGAATATCAGTTATATTTCCTTTGGGCGGATAGGATTCGCCCCATTTCGCATACTAATTTACATGTATTTCTTATGGAAGGAGTATTTTAATAAGATATCAATTAAATAAGTTATAACTCGTAATCTGTTGAACCAAAATAAACCCATTATATACTTTTCTTGTAGAAAATTTAATCTTCTTCAATTTTATAATTTACTATAGTATACAAAAAGTTGATAGTTTTCGAGATATAATCAAAAAACCCAAAATGCGTACCTTTTCCCCCCCTTTTTCCCCCCTCCACCCCCTGGCTCACCACCTAGGAGTCAGGACTTTTGGTATGTTAACACCCTAAGCCCCCTGAACAAGTTTCTGAAGGAATCGCTTAGTTACCTGCTCACGCACTCTACACCTACTTTTGGATCATTCATTGACTGGACTATATTTGTGAACAAGTCAGGTGTTTTAAGATTAAATTGAATGTATTTATTTAAAATCTGTAAATCTGAATTTCATCGAATTACGTTGTTTATATTAACTAAACTAGCAGAGTACCCGTCCTTCGTACGGGGTTGGCATAAAGGAATAAAATTATTACAGTATTGCAGTTAACTCAAGCTTTGCGTTTTCAATGGGGGAGGACACAGTTTGGTAAAATTTGATTCTTTAAATTTCAGGTATACATAATATTACACATCTACCATAGCCATAATGTTCTACCACTTCACCTAAACCACCTAAGCAACAGAGAAAAATTTATTATAAAAAAATCGCTTGATATAAAAAATTATTCATTAAATTAAAAACAGAAACAACTGTAAACAATCCTACTTTGACAGTTCTCATTGTGTATCACAGCTTTTTGTTGCTGCTTAGTTCAAATTAGCTGTTTTCATAAATGCAAAAAAAATAATAATAGTGCTGAACCCTGTTGGTAAATCGTATAACTTTTTAATGTTTTTGCATATCGTAGAACCAAATTTTTTAGTTGAAACAGCTGACAAAATTCTTTAATTCCCTTTAAATATGAATACTCATAAGGTTAACATGGGGAACTGTAGAGCCACTGGGGTGGAGCCCGAGAGGATTTTTGAGATAAGAATATGCCTATATGTTAATCGGGAATGTAAGCTATCATAATGCCAAATTTCAGCCCAATCCGTCCAATAATTAATGCGTGATTGAACTTCAAACAAACAAACAAACACACAAACTTTCACATTTATAATATTAGTAAGATTATCTTAACCTTGTATATATATTGTTTTTAAAAGCATATATTGCAATTGAAGGGTGGAATTATAAACAAAAGTAGTACAGTTATCAACTTTTACTGCATTTCTTCACATAAACCTGCAGTAAAACTTCGGAGAATGTAAATGGGAAACTACTTTTACGCCTTTATACTTGCCCTACTTCATCGCCTTAACCCAGGAGGTACTATAATGTTTACTTATCTGAAGTAGCTAGCGCATTTAAACAGTTTTAAGGAGAGCCGTAATTTCTCAAGTTTATGAACTATTTCATTGTGTTCATGTTATCTACGTTCCGAGAAGGTTAAAAATGTTCAACCAATCAACATTAAACTTCATTCGAGCTTAAATTCAAAGCCAACTCCTAGTTATTTACCCCTATAACAGCTTCGTTGTCACTAGTCCATTTAAGCCCTTAAGTTATAATATTTACATAATACAGTATGTTTCGTATGTTATATTATGTGCTTTAATAACGATGTTATGTTGCATAGGTCAAATTCCACAGTTTAGCAGCTGATATAAGTATTATACCAGCAGTTAAACAGTCGTCACAACAGTGAAACTGTCAATGCAATTTATTTTATATATAATTCAATTCACAATAGCTAACATTATAGTACATAGTTTTGGATTTTATATAAAAAAAACGTCTCAAAAATCAACATAAAAAATTTTATAAATTAATAAAACTCCCAAAATGTATATTTCGGTCCGTAGAAGGTCAGGCGGAGTAATTTTGTTCGCAAAGGTTGGCAGCACCGCCAGTCAGTTGTTGTTTGTTGTTTCTCGTCGGCAGCAAATGTTTGACGCTGCGTCGTATTTTAGTGATTTTCTCAATTCACGGTGATTTAAACTTTAAAATTTTGTGATTTATCATCCATGTGAGTCAGCGTTATAGCTTTTAAGTTAGACTTTGTCTATTGTTCAGTTATAAAGCCAGAAAGTGCCTAAGTGGAACGTTGTGTAGTGGTCATAACCTTTACTTGTCATCCCGGTGTCTTCTGCTAGTGTAGAGAGCTTTGAGGTAAGCTACATAAATCTTTATTTTTTATTTTACTTAAATAATTGTATTTTAACTGTAATCCTAGGACTGTCTTTTTACAACCACAACAGATTGCTGATGTATTTATCTATGGGACTATGGTTGTCTAACAATACATCACGACGAACTACGTACAAACATAATTCATTTTAAACACAACATTAGGCCTATTTATATAGCAATATTTTCACTTTGATTCATCTGTTTCAATGTAAACTTTACCTTTACCCTTGTTAATATGTTAGACCAGTTTCGATGTTTTGTTTTTACCGGAGCAGATGTAGGCCTACGTGACTTTCGCCCCTATCGGTGAAACGCCCACTTTGCAAATCGATATTCCGAGGACACTCGAAATCCTTACGCGCCGCAAGCAAAATGATACATCGAATAAGTTAATAGCACTTTGATTTATCAATTGTTTTTCAGTATAGGCCTAAGTTACACAATCTATGACAATGCCTGCTGCTATCTGTTGACATAAAGCTATATGTTTTTATTTAAAGACCATATTTATGTTAAGAAGGGATGTAACTTGATTGGTCCAATGAAAATTACAGCAATGTAGGCTGCTGTTTGTATTTATCCCAGCTAAAGCTAATTTTATCGGTTTTACTCATAGTGTTAAAAGAATTGGGACAACAAATTAAAAAAAAAAAACATTTTACTATGAATAACTTAATTTCTACTTAAAACAACTCCGCACAAAAAAAATAATATTTGAGTTTAAGAGCATAGTCAGTATGTCTGAGAAGTTGTAGTGTTTGTTATTTGGCTAGTATTACATGAGTAGAGAAGAAACTAGAAATCTTTGTATTGGTTTCACTAGTTAGATGATTACTTGTCGTCTTGTTTCTTGCCACCGTAAGTGTTAATTTCCACTCCTTGGAGAACAATTATCAAGTCCTTGTGACCAACAGTAACACTGTACTGTGAACACTAGGCCTATGTACCACTTCTGTAGTAACACTGTACACAGAACTTTTTGCAATTCACAAGTAGTAGTCTTACATACAAAGCACATGAAATTATGTTTATATTATTTATTTATTTAAGATTGGTGGGTTTGGATGGTTTGACAAAAAAGCTCCACCTCCAATCATTCGTAAATCTTAAATTTACACGTATTTAAATGTGCATAGGACTATAAATGTTTATTGTTTAATCCAAATCTGTAACTTATCGATCAAGGAAGGATACTTGTTTGACAACTTGTGATTAAATAACGGGACAACATATTAATACATCTAAATTTCTTGACAATTTTTTAGTCCTCAACCAATGAATACAGAGTCTCAACTAACGACACAGATACAAAAGTTGTTAGCCAATAATCACTTTTGTGCGAATATAATTAATTATGAAAATAACTTAAGTTCTAGTATTATCTCAGTAGTAGTAAATTACGGTACTCATTCATCTACAGGCAATTCCACACTTTTTATCATTTATTTGTATAAAGGATATATTTAAATAAATAAATTACTGTACTAATTTTCATAGGCCTACTTGTCAATTAAGCCATTTGATAAACTGAGAAAATGTTTTGTTTTTTCTCCGACCAATCATCTGGTTGATTCAAGGATCTTCGGATCCTAACCTGCAGCGTCCATACTATATTTGCGATGCGGAGAAAGTAGCATAAGGTGTAAATACCTCGGCTCAGCTGACCTCGTGAAACCTCATGACGTAATGTCCACTATACTATACTACTTGAAAATATAGGGCTGTGATTTTTATACAGTGTACATATCTGTAATGGGGTAGCGACTGCCGGAAAGTATCAGATATATTGCAGACAAATGCATTTACATTTACATTTGTGCCTACCTGTGGGTACTCGAAAGTGGTTAAATCATGGATCAGCTTTAACCGATTTTTATTTTAATAGAATATTGCTGAATTTGAATGTGGCTTTTCAGATTGTGCTGCTGTGAAAGTTATATTGTCACTCTTTTTTAACTAAGATGAAGTGAGCTGTAGTGTCATAAAAATAAATATGCATTAAGTTAGTAATATTTTTTCTGTTCGGTTTTGCTTACAGTTTACAATTTCGTAATCACCTGACATTTTAGCGCATCGTGTTGAAGGTTCAATTCAATTACGTCCATTTTACTTTCTCCCCCTATACAAAAGTACCTATATGGAGAAAGTATTGTAATCGTCAAAGTTTTCGAGAGTTGATATATTAGGTTTTGGGTCCCCCTGGTCCCAAAAAAAGTGGTTTTCGAAGTGATGTCTGTGTGTGTGTCTGCATGTGTGGATGTGTACAGTGCTACAGACCACACTTGTGGTCCGATTGTCATACAATTTGGTATGTAGGTACTAACGCATGGTACCTCCAGGCGTTTTTTATCATTTTTTTGAAATTTTGATTTTGATGTCAATTTTTTTCATAACAATGCATAGAATAGCAGACAAATTTAATTCTCTCAAAAACGGCCCGAACGATTTGAAAAAAATTTAGTATGTTATAGCCCTTTAGATTCTGAACAAAATGGTATACCTTCCTTTGCTGTAAAAATTATGTTTCAAAAGTTATTGCAACTTTTGTAATTTTCCCTATAAATAATAGGTAAACTCCCACCGCTTACCCATGATAAAGGTTGTTGATAAGCTAATGGGAGAAAGTATGTGTCAGATTGCTTATATACCGTTTTTCCCCGTAGGGAATTCTTTGTTCCTATTACAAAGGGATGACTACTTGTCAATTTTCAAAGATATTTCCTTGCTCGGCTGATTCCATTCATGTTTCTATGTTGCTTCTATATCGTAGCTCATGGTATAAAACTTTTTTTCTCGTCCACAAATGTTTATTAAAATAGCCTATTATGTTTTGCTGATTATTATCATTTAAATACCATTTAAACTTCTCCCAAAAAAGTAAACAATTTTAATCAACATTGTTAACACTGGTAAATGTTCGACTCGGGATTTTAAATGTGCAAACAAACAAGGACAACGCCGTATGACTTAGGCTTTACAATATTTTGTAATATCAAATGTAAGATTCATTGAGCAAGTAAAGAATCCAACTACTCAACAATGCCTGCTTATCACCGAGCTGGTTAAGTTTCGTGTTTTTATGAAAGTTCAGTTAATAGCATTACCACAACACCGCCTTATCACGCTATGAGTCACGGCTTGAGTCAGTGGTTAGCTAATGGCGTGGAATTGCATATTATGAGACTATTAGTACAATCAACACTTAGGTTTCTCTGTACATTTACTTTTATTTTACTTATTAAAATATTTAAAATAATTATCATTGTGGTCGACAAAAGTTTCCCTAGATGTACGCCAGCACCTTGCAACTATGCAGAGAGATAAACTTTAAACTTAACTAAAGGTAAACTACGACTTAAAGTACCTTAAAGGTTAAAGGCTGAGCCCTTAACTTTAACTTGTGTCACAATTCTGTGGCTCTGACTAACTTTTGCCACTATTTTGTGTTTCTGCCTTCTAAACCATGCAAAGGCTAGCATATTGTAGCTTTCAAACACCAAATTAATTAACCTTATGATTTAATTAGTATTAGAATCTCTAGAACTGTATACGTTATACTATATTATCTTACTAGTCCTGAAAATGTGTGTTTACCGGACGACTGTGGTCGTTCAAATAGTTGTTATTGTTTTATCAACTGTTTCAATTTTCAACAACTAAAGTAAATATTAACTTTAAATTGAAGGTATAACCTAAAACATTCTATGAGTTTTGTAATGGAGAAAATAATTATTCTTTGTAGTGTAGCGAAAAGTAACGTTAAAAACACGAGTGAAAGTGGGTCTATACATATTCTCGACCATTTAAAGTGCTCGATAAATCTCGCACTTCAAACATGGTCTCAAATTATGCAATGACTTTCTACTCTTGTAATAAAATATACTATTACAAGTGGTTTGTATTATTTCGTTGATTGAAATTCGCATATGTTATTTTTGTGTGTGTTTTTTTTTTGTTTTTTTTTGTGCAATGGAGGTTTTTCATTATTCTTTATCTAGAGGGTACGTGTCGAACCTAAGTATTTTACTAACTAATGTCGACCTGTTTGTTAGGCCTACATATACCTGATCATCATTATCAATCGATCAATTCATTGACTAGAGATATCTGAGTCCAGATTTTACCCAGTTTGATCAAAAGTGCAAACTTTGTTCAGCTCGACATTTTCAAATCTCCAATTTTGTTGAATTGTTTACACGCGCGATCATTAACGTATGTTCATTGACCACTTGGTAAACAGGGATTTGCAAGGTAAATGAGGAGATTGTGACTAATGTGTCAATTGGCCCGCGATCAGCATATGCAGAACACTAATGTGTGTGCATAATCTAGCCCTGATCTAGATAGTGTGGCCCTCGCTGTTAGCCATAGTAGTAGACTGCAGTTGTGTAGGCTAGGTCAAGGGTAGCGATGCAAGGCTGCTTCAAACAAAAATGTCACTTCAGCAGCTTAGACTGTGGAACTTCAGTCAGTAATAATGAATGATGTACGAGTAAACTTCAATACTGAAAGAATATTGAAAACTATTTGTAGGTGACGTATTGTGGATTCTGCCGTTGTGTAGGCTGGGTCGGTAGGCCTATACAAGGCACAGTGTGTGTGAGGCATTGGTCTAAATACCCAAATCCGACAACTAGTTCAACAAAGTGTCAATGTAGCTAGGTAGGGCCTACTTGTGGAAATCCATTAGTACTTTCACTCGGTTATATTTTAAATGAAGGAATTGTTGAAAAATTACTGATAAATGTTATCAGCCTACTTGTTTCACTTGTGAAAGATAATTGTTTTTTGTCAGTGAGTTTTATTTTTAAACCGTGCAAGTGACACTTTGACATTATCTTTCTAGAGCGTTCATTGTTTTATTTTTCTTCATAGAACATCCAAACTACTTTTATATTTTAATACTGACTATTAGGGCCTAAGTGTATTTTTTTTTTTTTTTTTTTTTTTTTTTTGTATTTCTGTTTATACTGAACCCG